GAGCAAATGCACTTATTTTAAGAAAAAAACGACTTGTCTACATTTAGTTTTTTTTCCAGTGAAGGAAAGTGAAACCCATTACACAAAATGTTCTTAATATAACAGAAAAAGACATATTACAACAATAAGCTTGGCAGATGGAGACGGCTTTTATGTTTTAATGTACTACAGAGAGCCAAGTTTTCACATTTCAACGAGAGCAACCAGAAGTCTCCATTCAGAAAGTCTCTTTGAATCCTGGATCACACTGAAAACAGGGAGCTATATCAAAGTTAACATTAACTTCATTGAAATAAAGTTCAAAATAATCTAACAGCATATCAGAGCAATATATCCTGTCTTTTAATAATATATTTACCTTTCTTTAAATTGGAAATCCTGAGTGTATCACATGTTTAATTCATCCTTCTTTGTTCAGTGATCTAATAGGTTCTTGTTTTTTTTTTTTATCTTATTAATAGGTTTACTAATGCTTAAGCAAAAAGTGTATATTCAGTCAATAATTAACACAGTGGGTGTAATAAATGGTTAAAATAAAATCACATAATGAAAAATAAACTTAAGCTTAATTGTCAATTAATGTAAAAATTAACACTTATGACTGCTGACAGTAACTATATATATTTTTTTATCAATTTGGAACAAAATAGTATATCTTAATAGTTCCTGCTCTCAGTTTTTGACAGTTTAATTGTGAAAACATCTATTTATTGTCTCTTCAATTCACTGAATTCTATTTAAACAAAGACAAAATGTAGTTTACGTTTTTTGTTGCTTTTTTTAAAGAAGACCTGAAATATTTCCCTTCCTCATCATTTAGAATTTATTCTAACTCCTCAAGAATGGGGCTCTCCTTGCTGTTTGGGTGCTTTTCTTCTGCCCCTTAGTGTTTTATAAATAGGTTTTGATCAGACAATCTGAATAACCAGCTTCTATATTACAAGCCTTTATCAGCTTAGCCTTATTGCAGAGGGGCTCAGAGACTGTCAGCTCACTGCTACGTCAGCAGTTTTCCCCCATAATTGTTTGCCCCAAAACTAGGGATGTCAAAAGCCTCTGAAAACTATCAATACAAAAATACAGTTTAGATCAAACACAAGTCCAATATTGATACTAAAAAGTTAATATCTGTAGTGTTGATTTTAGTTTTCAAGGTTATTTATTTTACGCATTTACTTAACTAGCATCTGCAACATTGAGAAATAATGTTCCATGGTGAGATTTAAAAAGGTTGATAATTTTTTATGCCTTAAGTTATGTCATTTTTTTAGAAAATGGTATCGAGTGTTGAATATTTTTCTGGATATCGATATTTTCTTTGAAATTTCTAGGCACTTTCCCTTCACTAGAAAAAATCGACATCTAGATAAGTCATTTTTTCTTAAAATAAGTGCATTTGTTCTTGGATTGAAGGGGTAAAAGATGCCAATGCCAATGGAACAAGATAATTTTGACTTATAATAAGAAAACAAAATTGCTTTGTCTTATTTCAAGTGCATAATATCTAATTATCTTATTTTAAGCATAAAAATACTCATTCAATTGGCAAACAACCTCATTTACCTACTCAAATCAAGGGTAAAAACACTTAATTTAAGAAATTTGTACTTATTTCTAGATTGTTTTTCACAGTGTTTAAATGCCCCATTCATTCTTCCAGCGCTAATACTGACACAGCTCAATTTCTCACCCACTATCCCCTGCAGCTTCTATCGTGCCCATGACAGGACCCATCCCGGAATACTCTGGATCTGATCAGAGCAGGTTTATAGTTCACCGTTTCACTTCTACAATCATCCCAGGAAAAAAATAGGAGTAAACATTAAGCTCTTGTATATTTTCCGACACTGGATTTCCCAGCATGCCGCCTGCCTCTCCAAGCAGCTTCAACATGACATCAGAAACAGAGCAGGACGTCAGCTGAGCAGCCGGAGTTACATAAGAGGACGCTCCACTGATCTAAGCGTTCAACGCTGACACCCAGTTATAGGATGGAGGACGATAGAAAAGGAGAAAAACAGCAAATGAGGCCAGACTATAAGGCAGACGGAAAGGTCACAGAGAGAGAGAGAGCAACTCTGGGGTGCTGCACACTAGGAGGGAGCAAAGAGGGTCAGCCTTATCGCACACAAGAAGCCAGGAAAAGAGGAGGAGAGAGAGGCCAGGTCACATAAGGCTCCATCCACCCTAGATTCCCCTCCTGCTACACATTACAACAAAACATCAGGACCCAAGCGAGCCTTTTGAAAGTGTTTCCCCTGTGTGAATGGAAATGTTTTTGCCCTAAAAACAAAAACATGACTAATATATAGAATTTCATTTACGACAATGAAAAGATTAGATCAGATTCTTTTCTCTGAAGACTCTCCCGTTCTGGATTTTGAGAAATACTGACAGAGCGAAAAATAGAGAAGTGCTAAAAAATAATAATAATAATAATAATAATAGTCAAGTTTCTCTTGGCAACATTTAAACCATGAATTCATTTTAAGAAAAACCACACAAGAGCATGTGGTCATCGAGCAGAAAAGTGCACATTTATCCTAACCGACGTCTATTATTCATAAAGTTTAATGCAGCAAAGCGGTAGCAGACTTTGAAATACAGACCTTCGCTACAGTATTTATGATCATTTTACTTTTTCACATTTAGTCACATCACAACAGCAAATTTTAATGTATTCTATCAAGGTTTTATTTGTAAATAAACAAAATAATAATGGGTAAGTAGATTGAAAATAATAAAGGATTTAACATATTTTAACAAATAAAATTTGTTTATTCTGATACCCCTCAATAAAATCCACTGCAAACAGCTGTTGGACACATCTAATATGCAGTGATTAACTGTTGCAGAATCAAACTACTAATTTTCTAAATCTCTGATTAATTAAGAATAAAACATTTAATTTTCCTTTATGTAAGTTTTTACATAAAATCCCAGAGAAAGTTCAAAGTTAAGGGCTGAAACATGAAAGTTTCAAAGTTTTTTTTTTATTTTTTCCAGTCTGGGGATTCAATAAAAAAAATGGCAGACTGAGCATCACATGGATCATTATGCAACATCCATGCTTCCAGGGATGCGGAATGCACATTTTGGTGAAGCTGTGACAAATTGCATTTAACTTTTAGTTTGCACTTGTGAGAAACCTTGTCCCAAAGCTGCATCAACTGCAACAACTAAAACATTGTTCAAACTAAAAAAAAGCGGTTCTGCTCCATATGAAGGAGCTAAACTTTGAACAAATGTGATCAAACTGTTTTGTTGCTGTCCATCAGCTTATGATAAAAGGGTCCAAATGCTTTCACGTGTGTGCACGTGTGCATGCATGGGTGGACCGCGCGCGCCCCGCAGCGCAGCAGGCGGTTCTGTTCCAGTTCGGGCCCGGAGTGCTTTTACGCGTCAAAGCGCCAAACGGAGCGGCGGCCAGAGAGTTAAATAAGAGCAGAAGGAGCGTCCGATACGGCGCGGCGGTGCGTGGGTCGGCCCCGGGGGCTGATCTGTCAAACCAGCCGGGGCTACAGGAGCTACCGCCGCCGCAGCAGACCACGCTGCAGCGGAAGGATTGGCACCAAAAGGACGCTACTCACCATCCTACGGCTTCCCCAGCGCGGCGCGGACCCCACGTTGTCCTGGGAATTGGGTCATGAGGCGGAAACGAAGCGGGAGAAAAAGTCAGCCGGGTTCCTCCTGGTTGAAAGTGTGTAGCGGCAGGGCTGGAAGGCTCCCCTCCTCCTCCTCCTCCTGCTGCTCCTCCTCGCTCTCCGGAGCTACAGTCCTCCTGGCCGCTGCTGCTCAGCCTTGTACCGATTAAAAACGGACTCCCTGCCAACCTTCCGACGAAGCTTCCGACTTTGATTCCTGTTCTGTTGTCCTACAGAAGCGCTTGGATGAGCCACACCGACCGAGAGTGCCTGAATGTGTGGGGTGGAAAGAACCAAAAAAGAAACAGTACGTGGTCGCTCCTCCCTCCGCTGCACTGTGTACTGTACAGTAAAGCAGACTGGAGGCGCACTTATTAAAACTATCTACTGCTCTCTACAGGACCTACGCTGCAAAACACGCGCTGAACGCAAAGACACATCCGGGACGCACACAGGTGACAGTCAGAGGGAGCATCCTCTGCCTCGCCTCTGCGCTCCTTATTTATTGACTCCATCATGACACCAGCTCCATCCTTCCCCTCCCCTCTCCTCCTGCTCCAAACAGGCTATTGGTCCTTTTGGAGCTGGCAGATTAAAACCAAAGACAATGAGTAAAGGTCACTGACTCAGAACCATTTAGTAAATCCATGCATCAAATAATAAACTGATAAGTTTAATAACTTTTTTTTTTTTTTTTTGGTAAAAGACACAAACATAGGTTGAAAATCACAAATTCCCACTTTTAATAATAACAATTATAAAATAACTGAACACAGTAGAGCTTTTATTTATTCTCTGGATTTTATCTGCCTTATAACATTATAGTTAATAACCGGTTATTAATCCAGAAAGCTCATGTTTTATTTTATTCATTATTTTATTTATTTTATTCATATTTATTTATTTTATTTCAGGTCATTTAAAAAATAGAATAATTTAATTATTAAAAGAATAAAGTTAGGAAAAAAGAGAAATCCCTAAATATTTAGGGAAACTGGGTGATATGCACAGGGGCAGGTTTAGGAAATTTGGGGCCCTGGGAAAAGACAGACTTAAAATCCCATATAGATCCAAATAGACAGATTATACAGATACAGAAATTTTAATAGAATAGATATACATTCTACATTTTGTCCCTCTCTTCTTGTCCCTTTTCTTGTTGTTTACTCTCGATGTTTTGCACTCAAAGAATGAAAGATTTTTTCCAGTCATTAAGCCCATTCTAACTTAGCTGATTGCTCGCTTCTGTGTTTCCAAAAAAGCGACGGCAAAAGTTGATAACACAGTAATTCTTTTCAATAGACAAGCCATGATCTGCTTATCTGTTCTCCATTTTTCCTTTGGATGAAATAATAGATGCACCAAGCATGACAGCAGACAAGATAGAGGAGAGCAGGAGGCCATGTTACCAATCTACTTGCTCTGGAGAGCAGAGTTCGCTGCTTTTATATGTTGTCAAAGTCTCCAGTAACAGAAAAAAGTCACTAGATTTGGCATTTTTCGTCATGTTTATTGTTCTCAGGATGTGTTTCCTAACGTAACACACATTTTGATTTGTCATCTAAAAAATAAATAGAATTATTGAAACTTAAAAACCACAGAAACTGGGTGAAATGTACAAATATTTATATTTTCTTACATTTTAAGAATATGCTAAAATGCAGTTAATATGAGATGTTTAGTGATTTAAATCATACCTCTTTATGTAACTGGCTTCCTGAAGAAGTCAAATTTAATTGTGTATATTCTTCAAGAATAATTTTTGATTGTTTTTTATTGTCATCATGATAATATTACCTAATATTGTATCGCCCAGCCCTACTTAGGAGAGATTTTGATACCAACGCACCATTTGATTGGACACAACTCACCATAAGACAGTGCTTTTTTTTTTTTCCTGTTGTCCTGTTTATTTTCCAAAGTAAACATCTAAACACACTTTCACTTATCTCTGAAGTGTTACTAACAATATAAAACTAAGATAAAAACATATATATATTTTAAGACAAAACGTTTTACTATTTCTTAGGTATAGTGAAAGATTTCTCTATGAGTCTTAACTGTCTAACAAAATATCTGAAACCTGTTACTCTAAATAAGTAATAATAGTAACTGAAGAAGTATCAGTTATCACATAAGTCTAATTTAGGAAATAACAAATGCCTAGGTTTACCCCACCTTTACTGGAAACAAATAGTTTCTTTCAAGTTAAAAAAATATGTATCTTATTCTTTTTATTTTAGATCAGGGGTCTTCAACGTTTTCCAGGTCAAGGACCCCCAAACTGATAGCGAGATGGAGTGTGGACCCCGTAATTATATTTATTGTATAAAATTGTGTTATATCAAACTGGTCCTATAGTCACTCTATTACAGATGGAGTAATGTAATGAAATTAATTTTGCCCTGGGATTATTAAAGTATTTCTAATTCTGATTCCTGGTTAATGGGACAGGTGTTGTGAATGAAACGGTGTCCAGCTTGAAAGAGTTCCTGTGTGTCGCTGAATGTGTGCATTGATGACTGAAAGACATCTTCTGCTCCATTTATCTGTTTACTACAGTGTGTTGAATTCATGTCAATGTGTAATTAAACAACATTTCAATTAGTGGAAAAAATTGCAGGGGGGAATATAATAAAAAAAAAAAAAAAGTCCAATCAACCAAAACTTTTGTGACCCCCATGCAGTACCTCTGTGGACCTCCTAGGGGTGGCGGACCCCATGTTGAAGACCTCCGTTTTAGATTGTATCCCTGCAATTTCTTATTGCTATTAAAAAACAATTAAATCAGCACCTAATTGACAATTGTGCAAAGGTAGTTTGGTCAAAAACTTTTAAGCTTAAGAAGGGAAAACCTAAATTATTAGTTTTACGAAAGGGACAAAGAAAATTAATTTTAATTGTTTTTACTTTCAATGATTTTTATCAAACACTAATTCTCATCTATCTTAGAATCTCTAAGGCAAAGTGATACTCTGATATCCCTACAGAAACCAGTGTTTCTGTAGGGATATCAGGTAGCTTGAGATAGTTGTCACCGACATGCACATCTGTTCTGTTGAATGGATGGACGAATTCGTGAATAAGTGCGAGGACAGACAGATGGATAACAGCCCATCTCTGTTAATGCATTCCCAACACAGCTCATTGGAAATATGGAGGAGCATCTGGAATGTTTGGGGCTTTAGTTCAGGTTCATCATTAAAGCCAAAACCCCTAACCCATGCAACAAGGGAACGCTTTAAAAAATATATATATTTTGTTTATTTTATATCCAAAAAATAAAGTTTTCTCACCTTAAATAGTAGGAATCACAGTTTATCTTTTTTAATTTATACAAAAATAAACCATATGTATACATTTCCTTTTTTTGCATTGTTTTGTATGACATTCACTTTTAATGGCAGCATTACAAACACACCGTCTTGTTTCTATTCTAATGAACAATAAAGTTTTATTGCTTCAAATGTATACCCCTTTCAATAAAAAAACTTCATAAACAAAGGCTTTAAACTCTGCACTTTACTTAACAATCTGTTTTTACGGTAAATGGTCTCTATATGCAGCCTTGGTGTTTGTTTTTGTGAATTTACAGCTTGATTCTCAACCTTTCAATACAAAATGTTTTTCAGCCACCTTATAAAATAAATACGAATGCATTTTGTCTCAATTAGTCCAGATTAAAAGTGGATTAAAACACAATCTGTTTGGGTTAGAGAGCAGATTAACTCTGGCAGGGTGCTTCATGGCTTATTTCGCCATGAAGCACCCTGTTTCCATTTGTATTCTATACACCTATTTTTATTGCTGCGATAGGGTTTGGTCACATGAACAAATGTAGAAAAATATTATAATTTGCTGATAAATAAAGACAGTAAATTGTGTGATTACTGTATGCTCACTGACTTGCAGAAGTCCAATTTTATCTTTTTGTATGTTTGGGATTTTTTTTTTTTTATTCAATAAAAAAATACTTTATTAATCCCAATAGAAAATTAAATGTTTCAGCAACTCATGGGCAGCTTATGTCCATAGCTGTATATTTGTTATTTTATTCTTCAGGTGCAGTTTTATATTGTTAAAACAGGACAATATTTTATTGCATCTTTTAACTCTTCGCTAGTATGTTAGTCTTATGCAATTTCTCCATTGTGGGACAATAAAGGGATTTTCTATTTCTATTTAATGTAGAATAAATGTAGTTTTTTTATACAGTAGCAGCATTAGATAGTGTATAATTCTGAAATGAATAGATAGCATGTGTGCATACTTTTTTCTAACTATTACAAATAAGTGAAAAGTATAGCATACAGCTATAATGTGCCTCGCTAATGTTGATACCTTAAAAAAATCCTTCAGCGATGTTTTGAAAAGTTTGTAGTGTCAACTATTGGGTGATTTAATCAGTATAAATCTGGCTGTTCATTGAGGGCCTCAAAGGTTTGTTATAGAACAAAAAAACTGCATCATGAAGACCAAGAAAACCAGCAGAGAGGAAGTTGTGGAGAAGCTAAAAGTAGTGTTAAGTTATAAATAAAATTTTGCAGGTGTAGAAAATTTATCTGGACCCTTTCCAGTCCAACATCTCAAAATGTAAAGACTATGGTACAGCAACGTTTCCGGGACATGGTCCTTAACGGTCGAGGGGGGGCAAGATAATCACAGCCCTATGATAACTTTGGAGAAGTTGCAAAAAAATTCCACAATTCAGGTGCAGAATCTTTCCACAGGGAAATTACTGGTTGTGCACAACCGAAATCTGGCCTTTGTGAGTTACTGACACACACAAAAAAGTTTTTTTTATTACAGATGGTACAAAATCGTGTCTTAATCGTACCACAAGCCATGTATTTCATACTGCAAACGTGGAATAAAATTGTGGACTGCCTGCACACAAACAGCCCTCCAGGGACTTCAGGAGGACAGAGTGAGCATGCTCTCTCAGCATCAGCAGCTATTTAGTGGAGAGAGTGGAGGCCATCAGGTTCCATAGTGTGTAACCAGTAATCTCACAGTAGAATATTTTAGAATTTGAAAACTGTGACACAGAGATTGCACCACCTGAAGTCGTCGAAACAAGTCTCTTTCCCCATCAGCATCTTGTTCTAACATGCTGTTCATTCGTGTGGTATTCGAGTTGCAACATGTCAAATAAAAAGGCCCTGCAGAGAAAAGCTGAAGCTGCTGAGAAGATCATTGAATTTTCATTTCATCTCTGCCCAAGATATCTTCCAAAACCGCTGCAGGAGCAGGGCAATAAACATGATCAAGGACCCCTCACATCCATTCCATAAATTATGCTATGTGGCAAACAGTCCACTGATATGAAAGACAGAACCTTCCCACTGGTCAGCAGCTTTCTCCTGCTGCTAGAAAACTATTCTGCTGAACAGGAGGTGTTACTACATAAGGGTTTTAAGCAGGACAACACACAGATTCACAACCATGCACACACTCACACCTAAGGACAATTTAGAGATCACAATTCATCTAGAAA